GGTATAGGTGTATTTGCGTGAGTGTGCAAAAAATTCCAATGAATCGAAGATTTGGAAGTGGTGCAGGGGCCCACTCCTGTACGGCGAGACAATGGCTGCCCTCCACTCAGCGATATCTATATGTGCCAGAGCCTAACATAGCGCTCCATTTTGGTAAACGCGTTGAGCTGGATAAAAGATTTCGGTGGGGAGACATTGCATCAGCGAAAAGGGCCTTCTTTACGAAGGCAATGCTTGCAACCGTGCTGTGAGGGCAATATGCAGCTTCGAGTCATTTCATTATTTAGCTTGACTGTCCGGGATCTATCTGCTGCGAGTAAAGAATGTTACCAAATTATGGATTCAGCTGCCGTTATTTTGACTATTGAGTTTGAGGGATGGTTCTCAATTGTCAATTTTTTCAAGCTTTTTCATAATTTTGTGACTCAGAGGTCAGTGTTTCCTAATGAATGCTTATAAGTAAATGTTGTAGGCGTTAATCTTGAGATTCGTGACATTGTGAAACGAACCAATATTTTCTGCATTTAACGCCTCTTGCACTGTATATGTATACTTCTTTTTTCTGGGAGTTTTATCCATCTTGACACACAGAACTGCGGGTGTCAGTTAAGTGCAGTTTCTCAATTTAACCCGATGCTGCGGTACTGTAAGATTAATGAAGTCATTACTTTACTGAACAGTACTGCAACATTACTCCACCTTTTATGATCCATTCCTATGGACCCCTTAAGCAGACTACGCCTCAATGGTACTTAAGTACTTGCAGTGCATAGGACGCAGCAACGCGACAGGTCTCTGAGTCAGAACACGCCAACTCGTACATGAGGCACGGGAAATATGGCTGTTCACCATTTCAAGCTCATTAACCAGCAGATGTACTCAGTATGGTCAGTTAGGCGGTTGACCAGCACCAATATTTTGGCTCTTGTCTGACGGGTCTACTTCAAGGTAGACAAGTGCGTCGGCGTGAGATTTTTTTCTCCTTCGCAGCTGCTCTTACCTTTGGAGCTAGAAAGCAAGCTTTAGGTCCGCAGTACCGGAGAGTAGATTCTTAACGACAGCGGCGACAAGTCTCATTCAGTTTACATTGAGATCGCATCCTTTGCCCCGACTGATGCCGTTGTGTGACTCAATGATTAATGCTTCTTAAGGTTCTGATGATACCTGTACAGTCTGACCATTTGAGGACGTGAGGAGAGGAAAGGGGTGGGAGAAGTTTATGCTTCATGTGCCAAAGTGCTGCGTCATCTGAGGGTTCCTTTTTTGTTGTTGGTTGACTTGGCCAGAGCGAGGCTTTGCTTCCTTCCCAGGTGCTTCGATCCCACGAACCATTCATGCTTTGCGTGTTGATTCGTTTTTCCAGCTGAGATCTTAGTCATATGTTTCCATATATTTATTCATGTTGAAGTTACGTAATTTTTTAGCCACAAAACTGTGATTCGGTGACTCCAAGATCAAGAAGATTCGTGAAGTCGACAACGCAGGCGAATAACGGTTCAGACAAGTACGACTTATCTAGCCCTTGGATCACTGTCTTGTCGGATATCGGCATGGAACGCTTTAGCGGTATGCTTATTAAAGGCATTGAATGTCTTTTCAAAGTATTTAATTAATCATGATAATTATGACACTAGGGAGATATTAAATACAAATTGTTATCGAACTTCCAAAAAAGCTTTTCAGTGCGAGATTGAAAAGTTTACTTCCTTATGAGTGCATGCTCTGATTACAAGACTGGATGAAAAGTTTAAGGGCCATCGCTATTGTAATATACACAATAGGCGCCCTCAATTGTAAGTTTCAGAGGAGAAACAATGCGTTTCTTAGGATGAAGCGTTGAGATTTCGGCCTGAGCACATAAATGAGTAAAAATTTCGATTGACTTGATGAGTGAGGCAAATGTACTATTGTTTTCAGACGAATCATCGCTGTTCGAGGCACATCCGGAGGGTCCACAGTACATTTGTGCGTCGACATGGAAGTACACGACTGGAGCGTCTTGCTTCATCGTCCTGTTCGTAACCAACCTGATCGTTTTCTTCGCAACGTTCTGCCGCGGGTCGGTCAGCAAGTGATGATTATGATTTAGTAGCATGAAGGCAGCACCGTTGTTAAACATGGACATGTCGTGCGACTGGGTACCTTTGCAATCGCGTTCCAAAATTTCACTGTACAAAATTTCACTCAGTTCAACGACGGCGACGATGACGAGAAGCCGCAAACCTGACGCTCATGTCAACACCGGTGAATTTCAGCTCGTTTCTTGAACAGAAATATACGGAGAAATTCGACCGTGTGAGCAGTAGCTGTTCCTTGGTTCACTGCCATTTCATTCTCATCGCTGTTCTAGCCTTTTCGTTGTGATATCTGTTATTGTAGCTCTAGCTGTTATGTAATGTATTCATTATTACTATTTTTAATACGTTGCAATGTAATTCGAATACGGATTCGACTTAGCCAAATGGAGATGGAATCTTCAAAACTTTTTCCATCAAATAAGCAAATATAAAAAAACAAATTCCGCGTATTCTCCTTCTTCACACATATTTGATTTGAATAAAGTGCAACTCTTTGTGGCAGGGGTGGTGCGATGCCGTCTACTTCGTCTTGTGTGAAAATGGTGTTCGATTCGATTAAAATGAGGTCGAATTTGTAAAAATATTCATTGCGAATTTAAATGAATTTGAAATAAATTTCATTTTTTCTCAGCTGCAAAATGAGTAACAAACCCATGCCTCTGTCAATAATGACGTGACAGCATTACACCAGCTTAGCTGGCTAAAGAGTGAATTTATGACCACGGAGAAGTGCGCCAGTGAGAAGATATTAATGGAGAGAAGCTAAAGCACTTATTAGCTGCAAACGACTGAATTGTTTTCGCACAAGACATTATGGGATAGCAACAGAAGATTTAACGGCTGCAAAAAATTCCATATCATAAGATTGGATGATAATTTATTCAAAAAAAATAATACTAAACGATAGCTGCGCATAATCCTCTGTCTACGCGAATAGCGAAGAAGTCGAAGAAGCCACCAGCCATTTATACCTCAGCCGTTAGGTAAAACGCATGATTTTGTTAGACGGAAAAATCTGCATAAAAAGAAGAGTGGCACGAGACTTCAGTACCTTTGATGATATTGAAACAAAACGAAGATAGCAAATGAGAAAGGAACTGTTCAAATCAGCCATTCTATCCGACTTGGTCGACGGAGCCCGTTGATCTGGTTTTGATAGAGATGACTTTAGATGCCAGGTCTTAGAAACTTTTCATTAAACTTATCCGTGCATTTTTTAAAACCCCATTTACGGTATCCTTGTTGTTTGAAAAGCATTACTTCCGCCAGCAAGCGCCATTTAAAAATCTGTAGTGAGAGGTTTACTTCTTAGTAGAGATGAAGGCAGTAGGTCGCTTGAATATATAATTCGACTTGACCCACCTGATAACGGCGTATTCAATGGGATAATCAGGCAAATTTGCTGCCCCCGTTGCTCTGAAGATCATCAGGGAACCGAACTTTGCAGCAGTTAAAACCTTGACTTAATTAAACAGGAAATATTAGTAAAACTAAAATTGAAAAAGGAGACTGTACGAAACTTTAAAATAACTGTATGAACAGGATTGGCTAACCAAAGAGTATTTAAAGTTAAAGTATTTCAATATCCTTGGTTGCCACCAGCTGGTAAAGAGCTTTCACGATACTCATAATTTGTGAATGATACAGGGTCTGAACATGTCATGGCAGTTGCAAGGACTGTTTTCTACCAAACGTTTGACGCCACAGCTTCTGCACGTATACGCAGATGATCTGAGAGCAGCAGACAGCTTTGTTAATATGTTTTTGCTGCAATAACTGATTCGCCTTCTATTTTTGTTCTTTCTTTCATTTTGTTCCATCTATGTTATTTTTAGAGTCTTATTTTTCGTTTCTCTGCATTTTGGTCTTTGCTTTCTTCTCATTACCTTTCAACTCTGAACATGTGATACTGATATGTACCATCATCGTAGTGATAAATATGCCTGCATAGCACACCTAGCGATGTTGAACGTGATTATTTATCTCTGGTGCTGCTTCATAACAGTATTTACTTTCATTTATGCATTTTGTCACTATTTAATCTTGAAAAGTAGCTTCTTTCTGTGACTCAGTTTAAGCAGTAAAATTTCTATTAACGGGTAAACGGGTAAACTCTACATTGTCCTGAATGTACGGGACCAGCAATTTCGCATAGCTGATTAGAGTCTGCATAAATACGGTGCCGAACGAACAATTTCCACCGAAATGATAGAGAAATGTTTACTCCCATGGAGTGCCACTGCAACCATTGGTACAGTTCTTCGTTTCGTTACATTCCTGCTCATCATCCTCAGCTTTTTTCATCCCATTGCTGGATGAAGGCCGCTGCATGAATTGCTACAAAGCTGTGTCCCTTGATTTCATCAAGGCGATCCTCCTGTCACCGATCTTGAGGACTTCTCATAGGCCATACACGGCCAAATGAAATCCGGTCGGTGGTCGGTTCTTCTTGGAACGTGTCCTGCCAACTGCCGTTCCAGCTTCTTACTCTTTCGATGACATCGAAGACTCTTACGCTAGTGCGGCATAGTAACGGAGTTCCCAGTAATTGGTTACACCACTAATGCACTACGACTCCTCACTAATTACGAACCGCAGCATCTTTAAACCCTTAGTCTCCTCGCATCGACCAGCACTGCTGAAACTCTCGCGATGAATTGTTTGACACATGACGCTCGACGGCTGGCTGCTGCTTAATACCGCAACGGATGCAGTAAGAATTATAGGATCTATCGACATGCTGGTCGTACCGACGACCAATTGCCTGATCACGTGTCGATTCAAACCTAAGCGTCGCTCGGCTCTATTACGATTTATAATTTTATGCCAGTTGCCTCACCGTTTTCTAAGGATTAATAAGATGAATTTCTGCAGAGCAGCACAAGGATACTTGGGGAGTAGAAGAGCTTGGACGAATTGCCTAATATCAGCTGTTATCACTACGGCAAGACTCTTTTAGCTGTTGTTCAAACAAGAAAGGGGATATGAAAGAGAGGGAGAAAGAAATGGAGCCGAGGAAGGAGTGAGAAACCAGAAATAAAAGAAGAATCGAAAAAAACGAAACGAGTTATTTGTTTGCTGCATAAATACAAGACACGATACTTGAACTTGATACGCACCACACCTATGCATGAGTGGAACCTGATAATCCGACTCAGGGTCCGATGTTTTGCTAAAGCTGAATCATGCAACATTGGGCATTCTATGGCTACTGCACAAGCTCAACGGTAGTGCAGGGGAAGAACACGGCGCCTCATAGGTTGCCATCAAATGATGCTCCATATAAAATTCTTAACTGCGATTTTATACAAGATGACACAGAATATAAACCCTATAGCTTGGGCTACTAGAAGCAAAGCAGCGGCTTTATTGGGGTATTACAAGGTATGAGATTTCTCACTGTCTTACACGATCACAGTGTCGATATAAACTGTGAAATAAATCTTTCCATTTTTACACTGTACCTTTAAGCCATTAAAATCCGATATCATTATTTGTAATAATAATTGTAATTTTGCTCTGTTATTAGTAATACACAAAGAATGTCGAATTTTCGCTGTTCATGACAAGAAGTAATGAACATTAATTTGTTTTTATACTGTCACACCATCCAGCGTAGGAGTCCCGCTTATAGGTTCGAATTCAATAGATTAGGCATTAAAGAACCTCATGCAATGTACGCAAATGTACGTGCTATTTTTTGCGGCAAAACGAGAAATTTTTTAGATAAGACGGGGCTGGAAGGCAGACAGGTTAGCAACAGGCGGAGGGAAAGATCCAGACGACGTCACGCTGTGGATTTTCTGTCAAACTAGCTGGGATACCATCAGCAGAATAAAACGCATCATCATAAGAGTTTTGCGATAGCAGAAGGTTTTGGTTTGTGATGCCAGTTGCAATCTGAGCTTTACAATTTCTTTAAATATAACTGTCGATTGACTCGCTGAAGCCCTAAGCGCGTGTATTATTTCGGTAGCGAATCTGCTGATGAATGAACAGAAAAAGGTAGAAAAAACTGAAAGAGAAGAATATTTATGAATATAAATACATATCAAGAAAACAATGAACGAAGAAAGGAAGCATGGAAAAAAGAAATGAACAAATGAACGAATGAACACAAGAATAAACGACTGATTGAATGACTAATGAACGAACTAAAGGTTGAATAAATAAACGAATGAATGAATGTTTAACAGCTTGAATAAAATTTTTTATGAACACAATATCTCAGCATAACATACGCAAACAACTTAAATAGCACATGATGCACTCATGGAGGAATTCAAAGAAGGATCAAAATTGGCAGAAAATCAGAACTGAATAAGTGTCACAATCAAGGAAGAGAAACCTATTGTGCAAAATGCCTGCTGATCATGAAAAGCTATAAAATGTTGCTGACTAATAGCTTCTGGATCTCAAAGGGTGCGATCGGTGATATAATCATCGTCTATCTGAAGAAACTCTGTCATTGCTGAAATGTACGCTGATCTTTTGGAAATGCTTTGAGGCAGACACACTTATTTGATATGTGCGCCGTGTTGTAATATGTTTTTACCCATCCTTACGATATGTCCATATGCTGATTTGATCAGTTAATTGCCAGATGATCTGACGTGATTTCACCAATTCTTTACGTCCTCTACAGTGACCTGTGAATTGCCTTAAAGTCGAAAGGGACAGTCCAGTTAAAACAATATAATCTTTGTAGATACACAGCAATAGGAGACACCCAACGACTATGCAGATATCTGCCTAGCTTTGTACAAGGAGGCTCCGTTATGTCTCGAAGTACACAACTGACAAAAACGAGCAACAGTCGATTTTATGTTCACGTAAAGTAATATCGATATGCAATAAGGATGAAGGCCGGTATTAAGAAAACAGTTAGAGATCATTGTTTTATGTATCACAAATCCATTGCAGCTTTCTACACGCGGACGAGTTGAGGAATTACAGCCCTCAGAGGCGCATCGCATTAGACTACATGGCCGAGCCAC